TCCCGCAGAACACACTCTCTGGCCAGTCGATCGACCTCTTGAGGAAAAAGCAAGACCTCTCTGTGCAAGTTTCTTCAAAGACCCTAAGCCCGAAGCCCTAAGCCCCCAAGGCCTAAGCCCTAAGCCCTAAGCCCTAAGCCCTAAGCCCTAAACCCTAAACCCTAAACCCTAAACCCTAAACCCTAGACGTCGAACCGAAACTTGGTAGCCGATGCAAGGAGCCGGGAGCAGCTTTGGCAAATGGTCGAAACCCCAGGGCGTCGCCCTAAAATCCTGCAACCTGCCCCCAACGGTTTAGGGTTTAGGGTTTAGGGTGAACAGGGGATGCTTGTGGGGAGTCCAGGCAGAGTGTAGGATTTAGGGTTTAGGGTTCAGCTTTCAGGGTTTAGGGTTTAGGGTTTGGGGTTTAGGGTTTAGGGTTTCGGGTTTCGGATTTAGGGTCTCTTGGGGCACCCCCCGACCTCCTCCTGGAGTTTGTTCAACCTCGGGTCTCGGATGAGGCCGGTCTAGGGAGTAGGGCTTAGGGCTTAGGGCTTAGGGCTTAGGGCTTAGGGTTTAGGGTTTAGGGTTTAGGGTTTAGGGTTTAGGGGAAAACAAGGCGTCAGGGGTTATTCAAAGTCTGGAGGACAGCATGTCCTGCAGGATAATCTTACATATAGTATAATGTGCATCTACAGGATATCGAAAAGTATAGCAGGTGCATAATATATACATATATATATATATACATGTATATAACGAACGCCGGCACATGTCCTAAAACGCTGAAGCCCTGACGCCGTGAACCCACGTTAAAGCTAATCCTAAAACCTGGCGATCCTAGCCGTGAGCCCCGGAGGCCTTTGGGCATTTTCCCAAAACTAGGGGACCGCCTGACAACCCTCCCCCCTCCCCCCCCCCCAGACACTCTAATCCTTATTCAAGGAACCCCCCACAAACAGCCCTACCCTGAAACCCCTAAAACCCTAAACCCTAAAATCCGAAAACCCTGAAACCCTAAAACCCTGAAAACCCAAAAAAGACTCAACTCTAAAAAAGCCTGAACTGGAAAAGCCTAACTCTGAACCCTAAAAAAAAGCAACAAAATCTTACCCTAGAAGCCCCATCGGCGATCTCATGGGTTCCCGCCCTAAACCCGCCCTAAAACCACGCCCTAAAACCCCATAAACGCTGTTTAGGGTTTAGGGTTTAGGGTTTAGGGTTGAGGGCCCTATAGACCCTAAAACCGTTATAAACGCTAAAGCTCTATCAACCCTTCAACCCTAAACCCTATAAATCCTACAAAACCTGGAAACCCTGTAAACCCTGTAAACCCTATCAACCCTGTAAATCCCGTAAACCCCATAAACCCCATAAACTCTATACACTCTATGAGCCCTATCAAGCCTAAACCCTACACCCTAAACCCTAAATCCTAAACCCTAAACCCTGAACCCTGAACCCTAAACCCGAAACCCTAAATCTGAATCCGGGGGGCTGGAGCTGCTGCGCCAGCACGGTGCGACGGAGGCAGTCGCGGGCCAAGACTGGGCAGGCATCCTCATGGGCCTGCAACCTGGGAGAGTGCAGGGTTTAGGGTTTAGGGTTTAGGGTTTAGGGCTTAGGGCTTAGGGTTTAGGGTTTAGGGTTTAGGGTTTAGGGTTTAGGGCTCAGTGTTAGGGCTGAAGGTTTATGGGCTTTAGGTTCTATTGGGCTTCGAGGAGTTTAGGGTCTAAGGCATCGGCACAGGGTTTCGGGCAGGAGCAGTTGCAGGGCAAGGGGAGATTTCGTTAGATGCGCATAGCTTCATTTGGTGCAGGGTTTGGGGTTTAGGGGCAGTGTCCAAAGCCGAAAACATTGAACCCTGAACCCTACACCTCAAACTAGATACGGGGGTCTCTGTACTTCCAGCATAAACCCTAAAACCCCGAACCCTAAACCCTAAACCCTAAACCCTAAACCCTAAACCCTAAACCCTAAACCCTGCACCTAAATGAAGCCAGGGCGCTGATCTTGGGGACCAGTCCAGGTGCAGTCGGGAAGGGAGCATTTTATCCTAATCTCGTCGAGCAGCGACTGCACAACGATGTTGCGCCTCCGGTTTAGGGTTTAGGGTTTAGGGTTTAGGGTTTAGGGTTTAGGGTTTAGGGTTTAGGCTTTAAGACTTAGGGCATAACAAGCATCGGTATGTGCCTGGGCACCTTAGTGTTTGGTTTGACATCTGCCCTAAACTGCAAAAGGGGGGTTTACGAAAGCAAGGGACCCCTACAGTCATGTAGACCCCCAAATAGTAGGATTCACTTACAATCCGGACCCCAATAAGGTACCCTAAGCCCTAGACCCTCAGCCCTACACCCCAACCCTAAACCCTAAACCCGATGTTCGAAAAACCCTCGAATCGTTTCTGAAGGGCCCCCAAAGCACACCAGCTGCACCGCGTACATCGGGGCGTTGCAGGAGGGGCAGGCGCGCCGCCGCCTCAGCGCCTGCTCGATGCAGCTGCGACAGAAGACGTGCTGGCCTTACTTCTTCGTAGCAGGGAATTCTAGTTCATGGTTGGGATAGTATGCTACTAAGAAGACCTGAAATGGGAAGTTGAATTGCTACAGCCGGGCTTAGAGGTATTTGGAACGGGGAGGACAAAAATGAATCGAAGCGAGCTGCAGTGTCCCGGGCCATTTGCCGACACAGGATCGATGAAGACGTCGGTGCAAATGACACAGCGCAGCGATTTGGACACTGCTTCAGGATTCACGATCCGCTCATCACCCAAGCCCATATGCCATATGCTCGCGCAAGCATGCTTTGCAAGCACTGCCGCTCACTCTCCTTGAGCCAAGACACGGCGAATCTCAGCACGGAAGAAGCCCCGCAAGCCCAAGACGGAACCCCAAAGCTCCGAAGCCCACAAGAGTGCACACCCAAATACTTCCCGCCACCCTGAATCCTGGCTTGCAACCATATGAGCCCTTCAGCCCCTAATTACAAACTCTGGAAGGCCACCAGAGTCCCTCCTGCATGGCTTCACTCCAGCCCTAAACCCTAAGCCCAAAACATCCCTAAACCCTAAACCCCAAAGCCCTAAACCACAAACCCTAACCCCGTAAACCCTAAGCCCCCAGGCTCACCCAATCTCCCGAGATGCCTTGGAAAGCCAAGGCTGAGAGAAGCTTCCTTGGATCCGCGTCTGTTTTTTTTGGGCGTTGAAGGAAGGGCTCCTGGTCCCGATACCTTGAACCCTAAACCCTAAACCCTAAACCCTAAACCCTAAACCCTAAACCTAAACCCTAAACCCTAAACCCTAAACCCCTGAGCCCCTGAGACCCAGGCCTCCCTAAACCCTAATCCCTAAACTTGAAACCTCAAACCCAACCTTCAACCTCAAGCCTGCAACCCTAAACCCTAAACCCTAAACCCTAAACCCTAAACCCTAAACCCTAAACCCTAAACCCCAAACCACCACGATGGGCCCGGTACCGGAGCACTCACCCCAAATTACCCCCCCCCCCCTGCAAATACCCCAAAACACCCCCAGCCGAAGCCCTAAACCCTAAACCTAAAACCCTCAGAGCCCTAAGCAAGGGTTCAGAGGGTCATGGCCTCTAAATATCCTTAAGCCGGCGAGGGTCTCGAAGTGACATTGCGCCCAGCGCCGAAGATCATCTACGGAGTTCTGGGGCGTGACCTCAGCATTTAGGGTTTCGGGTTTGGGGGTTTAGGGGTTTCGGGGTTTAGGGGTTTGGGTGTAGGGGTTGAGGGGTTTAGGGGTTGAATTAGGGGTTTGGGGGTTTGGGGGTTTATAGGTTCTAGGGAATCATCGAAAGGTCAGGCCAAGTACAGGTTTGGGGCTAATCCCTAAGCCGTATAATCAAAGATACAATTGTCCCGTTGGGGCACAAACTTACGTCCTTGTATCTTCTAACTATCCCTGCACCCTGAAAAACCCTAAAACCCCAAAACCCTAAGACCCCAAACCCTCATACCCTGAAAACCCTAAAGCCCCAAACCATGAAACACTAAAACCCTAAATCCCTAAGACCCTAAAACCCTCAACCCTGAGCCCCCTAAGCCCCCTAAGCCCCATAAGCCCCCTAAGCTCCCGAAGCCCCCTAAGCTCCCGAAGCCCCCTAAGCCCCCCAAGCCCCCAAAGCCCCAAAAGCCTCCAAAGCCCCCTAAGCCCCGTTCTGTCTTTGATCAGTCTCCTTGGATCTCCAACTGTCTGCAAGTGCAAGATGGTGGTTTCACGCTATCACCAAGCCGGACTCCACCACAATCAATTGCTGGCCTAAACCCTAAACCCTAAACCCTAAACCCTAAACCCTAAACCCTGAACCCTGAACCCTAAACCCTAAACCCTAAAACCCTAAAACCCTGAACCCTAAACCCTAAACCCTACACCCTAAACCCACCCAGGCAACCCCACCGGAAAGCTCAGCTCAAGGCCTCGAGATCCACCGCCGAGCCATTCAGAAGACCTGCGACCCCTAAACCCTAAACCCCAAACCCTGAGCCCTGAGCCCTACGCCCTAAGTCCTGAGCCCTAAACCTAAACCCCTAAACCCTATAGTCCTAAACCCCTAAACCCTAGCCGCCAGCCTTAAACCCTGAACCCTAAATGCGCCCAGGGCTTCGGGCTGAGGGTGTGAAAAAGCCCCCCCCAAACCCCTAAACCCTACACCCTAAACCCCGAACCCCTGGTCGGCTTCTGCTGCTGTGGCTCGGCATTTTTAGGGTGCGGCAGGAGGGGGCAGGGATGGTTTAGGGTTGAGGGTTGAACCCTTCGGCCCCCAAGGCAAGAGTTTAGGGCTCAGGGTTTAAAGAGTTCCTTGAGGTGTTTAAGATCCTTAACCTGAGGCCTTATGGTTTTTTGGGGGGCTCAATGTCGCACCGGGAGAGGGCTTAGAAGCTAAGAAGGCCCTGACACCCCTCTGAATGCTACTCTTGGGTTTAGGGTTTAGGGTTTAGGGTTTAGGGTTTAGGGTTTAGGGTTCAGGGTTTAGGGTTTAGGGTATCCTCATAAACAAAAAACCCCAGGGGCCTGGCCTACCTAGGAAGAGGTCGTGACGACGGACTCCATTCACACTGCTAGCAAGCAACTTCCATGATGAACATCCAAGCTCGGCGAACTTGATGGTCCCCGAAAAGTACCAAGCAAATAATATGGGGGCCTTAATAAGTAGAATAGTTTGGGGGGTTGTTATAGTATACTTCTAAAGGGGCCATAAGGGAATACTTTGACCCTAAACCCTAAACCCTAAACCCTAAACCCTAAACCCTAAACCCTAAACCCTAAACCCTAAACCCTAAACCCTAAACCCTAAACCCTAAACCCTAAACCCTAAACCCTAAACCCTAAACCCTAAACCCTAACCCAGATTTTTAAACGCAGCTCGAGGGCAAACGCTCACCGTCATCGGCATCGCGGCGGTATCGGGACGAAGTTCCATGGCGCTCGAAGTGTGTCAGTCGTATGTTCTATTTTTTCTTAAGAACCCCCAAAAAAATAAATGAAATAATAGTAGTCCCTATACTACCCATATAAGGAAGAGTATTCCAGCCGGAAAACTTAAACCCTAAGCCCTTATAAGCCCTAAACCCCAATGGGTATATGCACTCCTCGCCATCCCTCCACGAGAGGCGCGAGCCAAAATCTGTGAAGGAGACAGGCAAGACAGGGCCATCGCGTCCCAGATTCACGCTGATAGGGCATATAGGGTTTAGGAAGGTTGTGGGTGTAGGGTTTACCTGAACTAGGGTGCTCTGAACTCGAGGCCCTCTTGGTAGTCCATGGTGTTGGTGGCGCCCAAAATGGCCCCTAGCTGAGAACACACACCCCACCCACCCCCAACCCCCCCCCACCCCCACCCTCCCCCCCCCCCCCCCCAGCAAGCACGTGACTCAGAGGGCTAGCTTCCGGACCGTCTCTGCTACATCACTGGGCACCACGCCATAGTTCCAGGAAGACACAATGTAAGCATGGTGACAAAGGCAAGGATGAAGGCCACCTCAGATCAGGCGGATTCAAGCCAGAGGGGCCCTCTCTATAGTGCTCTTTCTTTCCTGTGCACACAACTGCGCTTGAGAGGCATAGCCAAAGGCCCCATAGTCCCGCAGCGATTGCAAAGACAGCAGCGTCTCTCGGGTGATGCTCATCAGCTCCTTTCACAGGTGGAGATATTGGAGTTATGCGATCAACGCGCGCGCCTTCTGTCAGTTAGGAGGGAGTTGCTCCTCATCTTAAGCAACATCGGGCGACTGTGTGCTGGTTGGGCCGTCGACAAAACCCAGCCTCTTTGCCGCCCTTCTTGTAAACGTAGGCCTGGTGTAGTGACCCGGCAGTGCTTTTGACGGGGTTCTGGCGGGTGGCATCTGTGCGCTGTGAGGCACGAGACTCAGCAACACCATTAACACCCGAAACACTAAACCCTATAAACCCTAAACCCTAAACCCGAAACCCTAAACCCTTCTCTGCATTGAGCTAAGGCGCCGCAACCAGCGCGAGCACAGCGCCCACTCCGAGGAGGACGTAGCGCTTGAAGGACTACAGGGGTTTTTTAGAGGGATTAGGGTAAGTTTAGGGTTTAGGGTTTAGGGTTTAGGGTTTAGGGTTTAGGGTTTAGGGTTTAGGGTTTAGGGTTTAGGGTTTAGGGTTTAGGGTTTAGGGTTTAGGGTTTAGGGCTGTCAGGTCTCAGTGGGGCCCCTTGATTTAGGGCTCTGAGGCTTTGGGTTTTCTGGGCTCTGAGAGCTCCTGGCCTTCTTCTTGCCATCCTCTGGACCGCCCTGCGGAGCCTTCTTGGGATCCGCCTGCACAGGTCAGGAGGGACTCAAGGAGGGACCGCCCTTAGAAGGGACCTTAGGGTTTAGGGTTTAGGGTTTAAGGTTTAGGGTTTAGGGTTTAGGGTTTAGGGTTGGTTATGTTGGGGCTGCTTAGGTATGTAGGGACTATATGAGGTATACATAGGGTTGTATAGGTGAACAAGATGAAGGGTCCCTTCTAGGGGTCCCTCCTTATACCCGGGCAGGGACGCTGCCAGTGCTGCAGGCAACTCCCTTGAATGGCTCAGTGAAGCCTACAAGGGTTTGTGGTCCCTATACCTTCTAATGGGATTATACCAGTCAAGGCTTTCAGACTTGTACAAGTTTCAAGTTCTCATAGAGGGCCTCTAGGGTTTAGGGGTTTATAGGGTTTAGGGCAGTTTAGGGTGTAGGGTTTACAGAGTTTAGGATTTAAAGGGTTTAGGGTTTAGGATTTAGGGTTTAGGGGCTCCCATGCAGGTGAATGTGCATGGAGCGCCAACGCCCTGAGCATCCTGCCGAGATCCCTGGAGCGCCCGGCTCTCCCACCCTGGGGGGTGGGGATGTCAATTTGGTGATTTCTCTAAATTGGAGGTCCTTTATATAGCGCGGCCCCTCTTATTTCGGGTACCCAGAAAAGGACCCTATGTTGGAGAACTCACACCATGCGCTGAATGAAAAAAACCCGGCCTCTTCCTTCATCTCACGGGGAGCCGTGCCCGTCAT